TTTTGTTATTACATCCAGTTAGTGATTATGTATCCGTATGTTGAGTTTCATTGTGATTGGTCAATTCGAAAGAAAGCTATAGCCATAAATAAAATTGCTGCCAATGCTCTGCTCTGTCCGCAGCTGTATTTGTTGCTGCTTTGACATAATTATGTAATGCACACACACATATGTACAAGTAAACAAACACTCATAGACACGTTCCTGATGTAAATGTATGTACGCATGTACGGAATATTTTATATTTAATTAAATTTGTTTAATAAATTTTTTTCGTGGGGAGTACAGGGTATTGAAGAGTTGAGCCTGTTCGGTAGCATTCCTTTCTTGTTTTAAGTAATTTTTTTCTTAAATTTTCCTTTTTTGTGGAGAGTAAAGGGTATTTTACTGACGGTTTTGCTCGACTGTAGCGTTCTCTCTTGTTAACTTTAGTTCATGTCATAGTAAGAAATGCCACGTGGATTGGAATTGTCATATGAAGAGCGCTGTAGGATACGGGCAATGAGCGATGCTGGTATAAAAATTGGACAAATAGCTTCTGCTATAATTCGGCATTGTAATACAACAGCAAAATTTTCAAAAGATTCAGATAGTTTCGGCGTTGCCGTCAGTTAGCTACTAACAATAGCGTGCGCAGCACTGACTATAACTAGACAAGGTGTGCAGCAAATAATGATGGACCACCTTGGATTTGCTTATGTGGCAAACCTCTACTGTAGCGCCGGCACAAAGAAGCACATATGGTATTTTTCAAAAAGGATGTCATGGCGATGAATAAAAGTTTAACTCAAACGGCCCTGATGTCACCACAAATATTGGAGGGATATTCGAAGCCCAAGCAGACCTGTTACAAACGCAACCATGGGGGAGGAAAGCTTTTGGTATTGGCTGCCTTTAACTCAAAAGGCAACCTAGCATATTTGGGGGTCCAGAGTAAAATTAACGCTGAAAACTATAAAGAACTGCTGCCGTAATTTTTTCGGACCTAGAAGAATCTGGATACCAACTTTGGTTAGTCCAGCTTTTATATATTCTGAAATCCTCGCGTTCATCCAGACAGACGGGCGGACATGTCTAGATCGATTTCTCTCATCATGCTGATCAAGGACATATATACTTTACGGGGTCGGAGATGCTTCCTTCTGCATGATACATACTTGTACATTCGCACAAAGTATACCGTTTTACCCTTTGGGTACAGGCACTTTGTTTATACACTAACTAGCAGGTATTGCCCGTCTTAACCCGGCTCAATATGTTTCCAATTGTATTTATTTTGTGTGTGCATAACCTACCCATATGTTTTCACCTTAAAGGTTACCAGTAGGAAGGCATTTAAGGTATTTAAATGAACATTTTCTGTTCTTGACAAAAAATTGTTCAGTAGTCCGTTACATTTTTGATCTTGACAAACTATTTCGTTAAACGAACATAACCACTATAACTAATATTTTTTAAAGCTCGTTTTCCCCCCGTTGGAGCTAGAATTTTCCAAAAGCCTTTCTTAGTGTGCTCCTACACTATGATGGATACTATGAAACGATACTTGAGTCCAAATTTAAATTCACATTTGAGTCTTTTCGTGCCATATTGAGTCAATACGGCCACGCACAAACTCGGAATATGAAACACGGCACTCGTGTCAATGCCGTGCAGCGATGAGCCACGATCAAAAAGCACTGGCACCGATACCATCAAAATATCGAAGTTTGAATGCAATAAGCAGAATATTTAAATAACAAAATCTAATTATTTATTGACATCAATAAGAACAAATCATATACATACATACATCTGCCCGCAATGCGAAGCAGAATATGCGTAGCTCCGTTATTCGGTTTCTGCTTTACTATCGCTTACGCAGTCGTTGCCTAGCGACGGTAACTGTAACATTTTGGCGTTTTGCCTTTGCAATTAACATTAAATGGTCAAAACGAAAGAAAAAGAGCGAGCTAATGACTTGCAGTTGTTGTTGTTTTTAGAGCATTATTTTTTTTACAATCAAACAACTGTGTTCGATTGCCCAATGTATACATTAATACGAATATACATACATGCTATATTCATACTAGAGATGGGCACGGGCCGGCTATTTTCGGCCCGACACGACACGGCCACGAAATTAACTTTTAGAAACACGCACGCGCACGCACGACGAAAATTTTTCTTAACACGGCCCAACACGGCCCAACACGGCCCAACACGGCCCAACACGAACTTTTTATATATTAAATATAAAAATTAAAAAAAAGAAAAATATATATATATGTACATAAACATTACAAATTTTTATTCAGAAAGATTATCTTATCAATATTTGAGCTAAGAAGCCGAGTACGTCGCTCATTTAAAATATGTCCAGAAGTGGAAAAAACTCGTTCGCTTGTTGCAGAGCTGACAGGGATATTGAGTATATGCCTTGATAATTGCCTTAGCATTTTAAATTTTGTTGATTTTTTCCAGAATGTTAGCACACAAATTCCTGGATCAACAACACTACTTATATAATCATCTATTTCAATATCCATTCTTGACTTGTCCAATTTAATTTTTTTTTTAATTATTAGTGTCCAAAAATTCTGAAAAGTCGTGTTGACTATTGGGTGCTTCGTTTTCTTATTCAAGTGTTAAATCGTTATTTAAGCTATCATTTATTTCAGCTAGCATCGATTTTAGTGTCAGAATGACGTGCCCCTTTTTATCGGGACTTAAAAAGTTCATTTCCTTAAAAGGTGGATTCAAAAATAGCCCCAATAAATGAACTGTGGTTGGTTCAAAACGTTTTTTTTAAAGAATTTAAGGTTAGATTCTTTAGTTTTGTTATAACAGCAGAATCGACAACGCCCCAGTCGCAGTGGTTCTTCAGCTTTTCAGACCACAACGCAAATATAACAATTGTTGATTCTTTTTCAGAACTAAGCTTCTCTGAGCATTCTTTAAATGGTTTGAGAAAATTGAATAAGTCATGCATCAGGTCAAAGTCAATCCCTGAAATACGTTTTAATTCATTTTTTTCCAGTAACAAATGCTGGATTTCTAATTTAACATCATAAATGCTATTTAGCATAATATAGATTGAATTCCATCTTGTGCTTACTTCCTGTTTTAAAGTTTTGCTCAGCTTGCAATTAAGCTCTGAATGTTTAAAATATTTTACCAATTTTTTAACTAAATTAAGATTGTGACAAGAAAGCCTTTTGTGGTGGCTAAATGCGGAAACAACATTTGAACCATTGTCTGTTATTATGACACTACTCTTAAGACTGTTTCGTAGCTCATATTCATCAAGTATAGAATTGACTTGTTCCAAAATATTAGATCCTGTTTTAGAAAGTACAAATTCTTTTACACCTAACATAGCAACTTTAAGTTCAAACAAATCTGTAATATAGTGGGCACTAAGACATATGAAAGTCCGCTGTGTATACATATCTGTCCAAAGGTCGGTGGTAAATGCCAACTGCTGCTTAGCGAGGTCAATCTTAAGCTTAGCTCTTATATTATCATATGTCACAGACAAAACTTTTGTTGATAATGAATTGTCTAAAAATGTATTTAGCTTGTCTTCTAAAATATGGGCAAACGCTAAAAGTAATCGAATTATCGATATATTTTGATTATTTACCCAACATTCGTTTTTTTATTACTTTAGTTGTTCATTTTATTTCGTGCTATGTTCGTGTTCTTTCGTGTTTCTTCGTGCGTGTTTTGTCGTGCCTTTTTGGCTCAACACGCACGGCCACGCACGAAATCGGAATTTACAACACGAACACGCGGGCCCACGCGTGGCACGAAGTGCCACGACAAAAAACACGGCCCGTGCCCAACTCTAATTCATACACAGGCATACATACATATGTACATATGTATGTTTCTCTTTACTTTTTCAACCGTACGTAGAGAACCGCACACATAGACACGAACTGTTGCTTGTTGTGTGTGAGTGTGTGTATGTGATGTCCCCAACTATTTGATATTTGTTGTTGCTGCATAAAGTTATTAATGAAAACACTAATGCCAAATGCACTAAACAAAGAAAAAATTACTTTTAAAAATGTTATATTATATAATTTTCAATTAATTAACATTTCTTGCTCTGTCAGTGCAAGACGAATGTACATACATACATATGTAGATACATATGTACATACATAGATGTGCACATATGTATGGACATTCACACATTAGTATCTCACATGTTGCTTTGGCTATTTAAATCGTTTGCACGCAACTACACGAACAGCTGTTTGTATGTGTGTATATGTATACTTAGTTGTCCCCAACTGTTTGATATTTTGTATTGTTTGTTCTGCCTGCTTTTGTAAAATGCATATTTTGAAAATCCTTGAATGCAAAGTTGTAGATTTAGTTACGTAGATTACATTATCCAAATTTTAAATCGATCGGACTAAATTTATAACAAAAACTTTTCATTTGAAATAGTGAATAAATATTAAAACCCCAATAATTCAAGCTCCAACACAAATTTCGAGTATGCAGTTTTGTTTGTATCCTTTAATTGATTTTAGAAACTACATTTTAAGTCGATCGGTTGAAAAATGCGGATTTTTCAAACAAACTTTGGATCTCTTTTTCCCCCCTTTGGAGCTCGAATTTTCCAAAATCCCTTCTTAGTGCGCATCTACACCATGATAGGATACTTGAGTCCAAATTTCAGCTTCCTAGCCTTTACCGTTTGGGCTGTGCGTTGATCACCAATCACTCAGTCAGTCAGTCAGTCAGTCAGTCAGGACAAACTGTTTTATATATATAGATATAACCTACGGATACATGGTATAAAAATGGACAAAGTTATCATAAAATTTAATAATTGTCCTAGGAAAGATCTTAAATAAAGATTAAAAAAAAATGTATTAAATTAATTTAAGTGGGCACAGATTTTAGCTCGCTCGACTCTACCATTCCTTTTTTGTTATATTTCCATTAATTTGATAATTATAAATTTGGAATTCATATATAAAATTTTTTTGTTTATATAGGTTATAAATGCAAGAACTTTGTTTAATGAAACAAAAAACCGTTCCATTGTACAAAAAATTATTTTACAAATGAATTGCAAAATGGGAGGATCGCTTTGGAGAGTCAAAATACCATTTAAAAATGTAATGATCTGTGGTATTGATTCATATCATGACCCGAGCCAGAAAGGAATTTCCGTTGCAGGTTTGTTAAGAGTATAAGAAATAAATTTCGTATCACAAATAAATTTTGGGCTGTTTATTTACAGCATTTGTGTCATCAATGGATTCTTCATATACGCAGTGGTACAGTAAAGCAGTTCTTCAAACTAAACGAGAAGAAATAGTCAATGGACTTACTTCATCTTTTGAAGCGGCACTTAGATACTACAAAATTAGAAATGGGTATTTTCCAGAAAGTGTTGTAATATATAGGTAAGTATAGGTAGTAATTTAATTAAGCTTTACGTAAAGGCGTTATGGAGGTGTCGTTTGACACCCGATTCGAAGGGAGCTATTTACGAATTACTCAAGAAATTCAATTAAAATAGTTTAATAGATAAATAATTTATTGAACTAAACCCCTTTTATATGATACTACCAGAAAACTTATATACATACAGTGGCTCACAGCTTTGGAGGAGCGAAACTATTATGCCTTGAATAAAAAATTTGGTTACCATTTGAAAGTTTATTAACTCTAGTTTAATATAAGATGTAAAAGTATTGGTTAATAAACCACATATAAAACGGTCACTAGCAAAGAAAAATTTCAGAAATGATGAACATTAATATGCCTAGTATAAACAAAATATTTCAACGTTCTTTTTACGAAAATTGTATGGAAAATAAGGGCAGAAAGGCCCCAACCTCGATTATCATTGAAAGTACTACCGATATTTTTAAAAAAAAAAAAAAAAAAAAGCAAAACCGCCACCTTTAGTTTCAAAACTTGTGTCCTAGGCTCAGGAAAGCTTAACAAAGCAATATGGGGTAGCAACTGATGGCCGGGTACCAAGTGATCATTTTTCTGACTAAGTAACATGCAAAAGTCCTCATATCAGTACCACGAATATTCTTTACAGATTCAACTTCGCCAGGTTACACGTTTTGAGGGCCCCAGAGCTATGGAACCCACAAGTATTCGTAGATGGGTCATAATCTAATATTGGGCATTATAACCTACAAGGTGCGTTCCAAAGTAAACAGGACTTTTGGAATCTAGCGCCCCTTGGTGGCGCTATCTATATGTCGACTGGTGCATTAAAATCTGCTATCTTTATCGATTGTGCAGTGATTTCATGACATTTCATCGATTGGAAGTGAAGTTATTGCGTTTTAAGTGTCAGTATGTTTGTGCTATTAAATTAAATTAAATTGTTAAATTTTGTTTTAAAATTGGTAAAACTTTTACCAAAATGTTTCAATTGATGGAACAAGTTTATGGCGATGATTGCCTATCCCGTAGCAGAGTGCACGAGTGGTTTCAACGTTTTCAAAGTGGTCGTGAGGACATACATGACGATCAACATGTGGGCCAATCAAAATTCGTGATCACCGAAAATTCCATCGAAACTGTGCGTGAATTCATCAAAAATCATCCGAAATCATCATTGAAATTGATGGAAATGGTATTGAACATCTCCAAAACATCGATTTATCGCAGTTTGACCGAACATTTGGGCTTACGAAAGGTGTGTACTCGGTTTGTTCCACACAAATTGACTGACGACCAAAAATTGCTCTCATCGATTGATGCTTGTGACCGATTATTTGACCAAAAATCACATTTTAACCATTAACCACTCGCCGTATTCACCTGATATGGCACCGTGCGACTTCATTTCGGAAAAATGCATTTGCCCATGAAAGGAAAGCGTTATGCAGACGTAGACTGCAAAAAGCTGTATTGAAGCAGAAGGAGACTATTTTGAATAAAATAAATTGATTTTGCCGAAAAAACTATTTGTTCTGTTTTTTTTTAAAAGTCCTGTTTACTTTGGAGCACACCTTGCATGTTTGGCGGAAGCCGAATTCTAAGTTTCAAGGACCAATTCTTAACGCAACTGCTACATATAACCGTGACAACCGTGGGCCTGTATGTCGGTTGCTGGTCCAGGAAGGTTAGCTTTTTTGGAGTGGTATCATAGAGGTATGATAGTAATTTTATGGAACAGATTTTGAAAACATTCAATTTCCAATAAAAACGCCACTAAAAAGGCGCTTATAATTGAACTAGCAGGTATTGCCCGTCTTAACCCGGCTCAATATAATGTTTCCAATTGTATTTATTTTAACCTACCCATATGTTTTCACCTTATAAGTTACCAGCAGGAAGACATTTAAGGTATTTAAATGAACATTTTCTGTTCTTGACAAAAAATTGTTCAGTAGTCCGTTAAATTTTTGTTCTTGCCAAACTATTTCGTTAAACGAACATGACCACTATAACTAATATTTTTTAAAGCTCGTTTTCCCCCCTTTGGAGCTAGAATTTTCCAAAAGCCTTTCTTAGTGTGCTCCTACACTATGATGGATACTATGAAAGGATACTTGAGTCCAAATTTCATCTTTTACCGTTTGGGCTGTGCGTTGATCACCAATTAGTCAGGACAAACTGTTTTATATATAGATATAACGCAACGTTTTAAGATAGACGATTTGCAAAAAAGGGGGAATAATTATAAGGGTAATTTTAAATTTACATTTGAGCCTTTTCGTGCCATATTGAGTCAATACGGTCACGCACAACCTCGGAATATGAAACACGGCACTCGTGTCAATGTCGTGCAGCGATGAGCCACGATCAAAAAGCACTGACAATTCTTATCTCAATTTGCTAGAGTAAAACTTTCGATAGTTGAAGCCACCGATACCATCAAAATATCGAAGTTTGAATGCAATAAGCAGAATATTTAAATAATAAAATCTAATTATTTATTGAGATCAATAAGAACAAATCATATACATATATACATCTACCCGCAATGCGAAGCAGAATATGCGTAGCTCCGTTATTCGGTTTCTGCTTTACTATCGCTTACGCAGTCGTTGCCTAGCGATGGTAACTGTAAACTTTAACATTAAATGGTCAAAACGAAAGAAGAAGAGCGAGCCAATGACTTGCAGTTGTTGTTGTTGTTTTGTATGTACATGCTACATACATATACAGGCATACATACATATGTATGTATGCATGGGCACACATAGACACGAACTGTTGCTTGTTGTATGTATGTGTGAGTGTGTGTATGTGATATTTGATATACGGCAAGTAAAAAACATATTGCTATAGATTTTAATTAATAGATTACAACAATACAAGCTTGCAAACAGACGTGTTTTTTATCGCTCCGATCAAATCTTTAATTTGTAAAGTTCTATGGGACATTTTACGCCCTTAGTGAAGTTACAGAGAAACTTGAAACAGTTCGTGTTAAATTTAATTAAAGGCATTAATAATAATAACAATAATAAGAATATTCGCACGAAAGCATTTTTCAAGTGCGCAAAATTATACATACAAATAGAACAATACAATACACTGAGTCATACTCTCACAAATACTCTCGCATCAGCGTTCAACAAATCACTCAATAAAATACAAACCGAGAAATCGAATTTCGAACTACACTAAACAACATGGCACCGCAACCCAACAAACGTGCACGTGAAAACACCAGCACTGACCTTAAGGAGGGCCGCCAGTCGGAAGCTGTTTCATCAAAGATAATGGCAATGATGAATTTGCGTTTTGAAGAGCAGGCCAGCCTCTTCACCACTCATATGGGAGATACTGAGCAGCGCATCCTCAACGTGGTGCTGGAGCGGTTCGATCGCATGGCTGATGAACTGAAGCAGCTACATGAGCGTGTGAATAACATTGAACGCGAGGTTGAAGAGCTGTCCTCGTTGAGGGAGCGGGTGGGTGTGCTTGAGACGAAGCTCGCTGCGCAGCTCGATGCCGCCAATGCCGCTTGCGACTTGCGTGTACAGGTGGGTGACCTGAAATCCAGATTAGAACATCAGCTTTCTAAGCAGGAAAACGCAGATATAGCAAATAACTTGCGTTTCCACGGTGTCCCGTATGTAGAAAATGAAAATCTTAAGGCGATTTTCAACTCTCTCTGCTTCGCCTTAGGAGTAACTCCGGCACCCAAGTTGAAAGAAATCTATCGGGTCAAGCAAAGCAGGACCAATAATTCCATTGTTGATCCGGTGATAATAATTAGACTCGAACATATGCGCGATAAAACTTCACTTTTGCGGGCAATTGGCACATACCGGCGAGAAACTCAACAACAATTAAACTTGCTGCTCCTAGGTTTTGACTCGCCAACCCCAATTTACATAAATGAGCAACTAAGCAAACGAAATTATGATATTTTTAAAGAGGCAATGAAAATGAAGAGACAGAAGTTGCTCTTATCAGTATTTACTCGCCGCGCATTAGTGCATGTTAAAACACCTACTTGCGATACAGTTGTTCGTGTTGAGGGCATGCAAACGCTCTTGGCACTGCAGAATAACTGCATAAAAGCTTTAACCCCCCTTGCCGAGCCATCGGCTGAGACGGACGGCGTTGGAGCTTTAGGGGAACACCTTAGCAATAGTAACTTTCGCACTTAAGAAACTTCTGTTATGCTTTAATTTTAACATAGTTATTTGTAGTAGTAACTGTCATGCTTGTTTTAAATTTATCTGTTTTTTCTATTTATATTTTACATCGTATACTTCGAGTGCGTTTCTGAATCGACTTCAAATACTTAAATATGCAAATTAGTAATAGTAGTTTAAATGCGAGCAGCCATACAATGCTAAAAGTTCTTTGCAACCGAAAGCCAGGCTTACATATTTGTCATATCAATGCGCAAAGCCTAACGAACAAGATAGAAGAATTTAGGTATATGTTTGTAAATTCCAAGGTTGAAGTTATATGTGTGTCTGAAACTTGGTTTATGTCTGACATGTGTAGTTCGTTGATTAATTGTGATGGATTTAATGTTTTCCGCTCTGATCGTGCAGGCCATGCGGGTGGAGTTGCAATATATGTAAGTAAGAAAATCAAAGCCAGAATTATATGCAAACAACCTGAGGGGTGTGCAATAGAATACGTTTTTATCTCACTATATCACCTAAAAAACTGCCGAAACATCTTAATTGGATGCATTTATCGACCTCACCGCAACACAAACTACACTGATCTGATCAGTATATTTTCTGACATCTCAATGAACTATGAAGACGTAATTCTAACGGGTGATTTCAATTCCAATGCTCTGTGTGACGCTCGTCTAGTTGATGATATGGAGGCATTAGGCATGAAAATTGTTAATGCAACACAACCAACATATTTCTCACAAACCTCTAACACATTACTTGACCTTTTTTTTATACCCTGTACCCGTAGGGTAAAAAGGGTATATTAGGTTTGT